AACGTACAAATTGAAGGGAGAAAGCGCTGTATTCTCGAAACGAGATTGTCTCGTGTGAAACGGAAGTTGTGCGCCTCGGAGTGTCGATCATGCGTCAAAATGGCGCGCGTGGAGCGAAGAAGAGCCAGGGAGAGACGCGATGAAATTTTCGAGGAAAAGCCTCCTCTTTGGACGGGACACGACGGTGCACGCGTCGCATGGAAAAAAGAACGCTTGAATATTCATTCTGTCGCCTCTCTTATCGCTTTGCACGCGCTTTCGCGACGAACAAAAGGGAAGACGTCGGCGAAGCATCGTCGACGGGGCAGAGAGAGAGAGGAGGACAGTTGCACGTTTCGGCAGGGATTAGTTGTCAAACGCGTGGAATTATGCGTCTCCCTGGTCGCTCCTTTGAACACCCGCTGTCCGAAATTAAAATCGGAGACGGTGCAACTTGCTATGTAAGAACGACGAAGGATTGTTTCCACTCGAAAAGATTCTATCGTGCGTTTGCATGGGAAATTTAGCGCTCTTTGGGAATTGTGTTTCGTTTGGCCTAATGAAACTTTGGATACGTCGAGCGATATACCTTAGGAAATATGAATTTCATTTCCTAATTTGCTATTGCAAATTTTGACAAATTTGTTACCGTATAAAATTGCTTGAAAATTAGAAAGAATAGAACCTGATTATTTTACAAAATTTTGCGGTGGCGTGTGAGAATTATCAGAACCCGGGACCTTCGGCTTTTTTCACTCCCTCTCTATTCTCCCTTCGAGGTTTCCTATTTGGGTACGGAGACCCCGATACTACACTCGGCCCTCCTGAACTGACATTCGCCCTCGAATGACCTAAGTTCAACAACTCAACATTTTCGGGCACACTCTCCTACACAGTGGCACACAGCCGAAACGACGCAATTTGGGAGACGTGCAAACTCTCGACATGTTCTTCATCGCACAACTCCTGGCTTCGTGTAGCCGTAGATGCCTCCATCCCGGATGAGCGTCCATATGTAGGAACCTAGGGAAAAATATTGAGGGACCCAAACGGGAATCGAACCCGGGACCTTCGGCTTTGCGCGCTACGCCAACCACTCCCTCTCTATTCTCTCTTGCTGGTTTCCTATTTTTTGGGTACGGAGGCTCCGATACAACAATACTGTCACTGAGATATGATAAATTTCACTCCCAAAATTACTATAACAAATTTTGACTGCACAGAATTGTTTAACCCTTTCAATTCCATCGTCCAATTTGCGCAAATGCCCCTTGCACTCGAAGAATCCCTCGAACATTCCATCCAAATACCCCAAAAAAATATATCCAAAAATTTTCCAATTTCAGCGTATTAAAAATTGTAAAAGCCTATTTCACGAAATTTCGCTGCGTCCACGAGTCCAGCCCTCCCCGTTTCACTGGTACGGCGTGTCACAGAAAATGATAAAACGCTGCTTCGATCTGCGGATTCTGGCTGTTTTATCAGCGACACGTTTACCGACAGCTCGATTATTAATCGCCACACGTCTGGATTATTCGATAAGCCCCAGGAACGATTAACGGAACGAATAAAATCGACTTTATCGAATGGAGATATTCCGAGGACAGAGATAGGGCGCTAGCCGATCGAACGGGACGCGAATTTGTGGGAATGCCGGTTGCGATAGCTGTTAAGAGAGGTGAGAGCGTCGCGACGCATACCGTTCACGCGTCAAACCGTCCGTATCGACCTTAATCTCACCGCGTGTGGCGGCCAGTGTGGGTTTAGTTCGCGGGTAATTGCGCGATCTGGATACCGGGGTAAATTTCGACAGTGAGATGCGGTCGAGTAAGGAATTGGTTCGACCAGGTGGCAAGTAATCGGTGGAGGGAGTACTCTGGCTGGTCGTTTGCCCGATCGGATGGTTATTATTCAATTGATTGCGGTGTATCGGGCAAGTATTTCGCCAAGTAGTTTAGCTTTCCTATTGATTACCTCGTGCCAGTTCCGGTCAACTTTGTTAATTGATAATTAGGAAGTTTCTTTTGAATATACTTCTGTTGAATATATTTTTGGTGGAATTTTGTGATTTTAGTGAACTTTGTCAATTGAAGTTTTTTTTGGTCGAATTTTCAGACTTTTTTGTTGAATGTATTTTTGGAGAAATTTTGTTAATCGCTATTTTTTAACTCTTTATAATGTCACGTGACTTGGAAGTAATTCAATTGTTTGTGTTTTCTTACGTGTCATTTTAGAGACGTTTCGAGAAGTCGAAAATATGAAATTTTTGGGGAGGAAAAGAAAATTTCTTAATTGCTGCACTGTGAAATATATGTCAGCTAAAGTTTATTCACTTGAATTGAAAAAATTGAGAAATTTAATACATTTATCTGTATTTTTTAAGTCCCATTTTAGAGACGTTTCGAGAAGTTGAAAATATGAAATTTTTGGGGAGGAAAAGAAAATTTCTCAACTGCTAAAATCAATTCACTAGAATTGAAAAAACTGAGAAATTTAATAAATTTAAAGTTGATTAAAAACAGTTGAACTTTCGACATTTCTTATCAGAAGATATTCCAGAACACCTCGAATTACGAATTGACGAGTTCGTCTATAATTAGCGACGTTTTCGTCGTTCATTCTTGCGCCCAATCCGAGTTTTCACGTTAGGAAACACTTGGCAGGATCTACGACGGTTATTGTTGTTCGAGTGTCGATTATTTATGGATCAGTAGAAGCATCTTAATGGATCGACAGATCAATACGATTGTGCAACGTTCTATTTGCCAATTTGTATTACCGATTCACAAACGAAAAGCCTGCATTTAACAATCTCGTCCAATTTCGTACACGATCTACCGATTAAATTCGATCGTTATTCTTTATTGCAACATTCAATCATCATCTTTCAATCAGAATTACTCGGAACATTATATGTTACATATTCGATCCATCAATCACTTTTTCTCCCGGTTGAAAATTAATCACTTCCTTGGTAAGATTAAAAGAAAAAAGTTCACTGGTACATCAGTCTCAATTAACTCTAATGAAATTCGAAGCTGAAGTTAAAGTAAGAGATTTACGTTTGTAATTTGCATCGAGGTCACATCAGAATTACTCTGTACGATTCTCAATCCGCCTAAAGTTTCAAACATTTCCATTTCATTATTAACCTATTCGGATAAGACAGTCTGAGAATAATCCTTGGGAAATTGGAATCAATCAAGTCTCCGCTAATCTTATATGTTAAATTTCATTATCGCTCTTCTCAGACAAGATTTCTGTCTAATATTGAAATCAAGGATAAGGGGGGAACCTGTGGATCTTTAGAAATTTATCGCGAAGAAGTCTATGGAAATCTATAGAAATCAAAGATAAGGAAGAGATCCATAGATCTCTCGAAATTTATCCCGAAGAAATCTTTGGAAATGTATAGGAATCAAAGATACGGAAGAGATCTATAGATCTCTCGAAATTTATCTCGAAGAAATCTATGGAAATCTATAGAAATCAAAGATAAGGAAGAGATCCATAGATCTCTCGAAATTTATCTCAAAGAAATCTGTGGAAACCAAATATAAGGAAGAGATCGATAGATCTCTCGAAATTTATAGGAATCAAAGATACGGAAGAGATCTATAGATCTCTCGAAATTTATCTCGAAGAAATCTATGGAAATCTATAGAAATCACAGACAACGAAGAGATGTATAGAAATTCAAGACAACGAAGAGATCTATAGATCTCTCGAAATTAAGAGAAATCAAAGATAACGAAGAAATCCATAGATCTCTCGAAATTTATCCCGAAGAAATCTTTGGAAATGTATAGAAATCAAAGATACGGAAGAGATCTATAGATCTCTCGAAATTTGTCTCGAAGAAATCTATGGAAATCTATAAAAATCACAGGCAACGAAGAGATCTCTAGAAATTCATCTCAAATAAATCTATAGAAATCAAAGACAACAAAGAGATCCATAGATCTCTCGAAATTTATGGAAATCTACAGAAATCACAGACAACCAAGAGATCTATAGATCTATAGAAATTCATCTCAAAGAAATCTGTAGAAATCGAAGATAACGAAGAAAGAGTCTATCGTAGAGGAGATAAAGAAAATCAGTTGAAGTTAATTTTCAGCAAATATGACCGTGAAGATACGCGACAGAGAGAAACCTCGCTGGCAACTGGCCGTCTCCTGGTAATCCGGATTAAGTCGCGATTCGAATGGTTCTAGCGCAATAGAGTCGCGATTAAGATTTAGATTAGAGCCAATTGCTCCAACGATTAGGGCTCTGTCGATCGGATTAAACTGCGACTGCTTCGATTTTCCTCCGATAAATCGCCTTCCATTCAATTTCTCTCATCTACCGAGCAATGGAAACTTCAATCCTACCGCATTCTTCCATTCCACTATGCATTTGCCCTCTCTGGGTCAAAAAGGACCCAAATACCTCATTTCACAGCAGAAAAATTATTTAAAAAAATAACAACACTCGATTTAAATAGAAATTGAAATAATTAGAGAAAGACGGAAGAAATTTCACGTGAAAAACTTTCACACAGAGAAAGCTGATATTTCTCCGAAATGAAGGAATTCCATTTCACGAAAAGCGAAGTCGAACCGTTCAAGTGGCTCGACGTTGTTTGCCATGAAAATTTCACGCGCTTAAAGCAGCTGAATTTCATCTCCTAATTAATCGAGTTAGACTAAACGTTGAATTAACCGAAACGCGTATTTGCTCTCGCGGAAGATGGAATTACGTGATTAGAAATCCAACATAATTTCCGTCGCAAAAACACTCAAACAGAGGCAACGAAATTGTCGAACTACTTTGACAATTTGCAAATTATAAAATGATCAAAAAAAAAAAAAAAAAGAAAAAAGGTAAATTATATATTCTGCGATAAATCAGCCTTTCAAGGCCATAATTCTGTCGCTGCAAAGTGTTTTGGAGAAAATTCTTGCGTGTAAAATGTGAGAACAATTTCGGTGTGTGTAAAACATGTTGGTAAGTGATAAAAACGAGACTGAACCTACCGTTGGGTACTGTCGGTGGTTTTTTCGTCTGCACCCTCGCTGTCGCGTTGTTCACCTGTCGAACGAACAACCAAATATTAAAATTTCTGAATTCCACCTTAACTAAATAAACGAATTTATTAATTCTTAACCAATCCATCGCGAGATTCGTGGTAGTTACTTCTCCATTAAAAACAAAACACGAAGAAAACACGAAACAAAAATTGCACAAATTTTAAAAATTACTCGTCAAAAAAAAAAGAAAAGATTCAATTTCTACAAAAATATTTAGCAAAAATTATAAAAAGAGAAATTTCGCGATTAAGAATTCCAGGACGCTGAGTTTTACCAAACTGTAATTGTAAATATTTGCAATTCTGATGGAAAAGTATTTTCCTTTTCTCTTGTTTATCCACGGAAAAATTGAAGTCGACGCGGACTCTGATTGTCCGAAGATTAATTTCACGGGCCACGCACGAATCTCGCGATCGAGGACGCGTCGATGGATGCGCAAATCGCGGAGGGGATGCAGTACCTCCGTATCTGGGCCTCTCAATTTTCATTTTCGCGGATATTCGTCGACGGAAAAGCGCTGAGAGACCTGGATAAATCGGGGCTGCGCATCGATCAACGCGTAAACGTGAAAATGACTGCATCTGCGCGTCGCCAGTGTTCGCCTCCTTTGTTCTCTCTCTTTTTGTTCCTCCATTTTTTTTAATATTCCGAAATTTCCACGGAACACATTTTACGCGGGAAAATAATAAATCCGAACGGCGAGCTAGAAATTGCGATGATTCTGGCGACGCTCACACGCGTGTGTAATTATAGTTCTTGATGCTTGTTTTGCTTTCGAGCGACCATCAATCCGCGAATTCGGCAATTGGAAATTTTCAACGGATTGCAATTTCGTCGATAAAATTCGCATTACAGCGGAAACGTGAAATTTTGCCAAATTTTCGAACTGATCCGATCCTCTTTCTGCTCTGAAATCTTGACTAAATTCGAGGAATATTTTTGGACATTATTCGTCGAGCAAAAGAGAGGAAAATTTCCAAAGGAAGTTTTTGGAAATTTTGCCGAATCGAATTCTTGGTCGTGAAGACGCGAAATTTGACGAAGATACAAACGACAAAATCACGAAGCTACCTTAATAATCTGCAAACGATAGAACGACTAGAAATGTATGAACAAAAAAAAAAAAAAAATGATTTCTTTCAGCGATAAATCTAGTCTTCAAGACCAAGAACGAAAATATCTGATAGATCGCTTCGACGTTCCAAGTAAATCCACTTCTTACCCGAGAAATTTTGCAAATCAATACTCCGAGACAGGAGAAAGAATCTTTGAAAAGAAAAATTCTGCAATGGGCACATTCGAAGCGATCAGTCGACGATTTTCCAAGCGAAGATCCGGCAAAGTGGAGCTTTGGTGTTACAAAAAGGCTCCTCCAAAAATCTACCAACTCTCTGTTGCAACGAGGGACGCAAACAATTGACAGAGAGGTTTAAAAGGAGACGAAAAAAAGGGTCTGTTTTCGTTGTTAAACGCTCCACTTTCCCGGACGATCGCGAAAAAAGAAACACGGGAAAAGAAATCAAGAGACTGTTGCCGTCGATTTCCGATTATCTCAATCTCGCACAAGTACTTTCGTCGCTGGTGGATGAATTGAAAAAGAAAAAAAGAGAGAAATATAGAAAATGAAAAATAAAAAAAACGAAGAGGCGAAATCTCTCGACGGGTCGCGACGCTCCTCTTTATCAGCTGGTTCCCTCTTACCGTGTGTACTCCATTCTTCAGTTTCTGTCCTGTGCTTTCTCCTCTCGCTTCTACCATCCCATTTTTACCCTTCGTTTTCCATCCGCTTTCACGGGAAACATATCCCGTGAAAAGCGGCCACCTCGTTATTTTACACGACGATTCCCGTGTTTTTTCCGCCACCTGCGCCTTGCTCTCTCTGTTTCTTTGACGATTCTGTAATCTCCGATTCACCTGCGCTGGTTTTTACGTGGATTCTGTAATCCCCGATTCACCTGCGCTGATTTTTACGTGGATTCCGTAATCTCCAATTCACGTGATTTTTCGTTGATTCTGTGATTTTTGACTCGGTGCTTTGGGTCGATGGAATTTTGCAATTTTCGGGGCTTTGGTTTAACCCCTTTAATTCCACGGAAAGATCTGAGTTCATTTCAGTTATTTAGGAAGAATCTTTTCGGTCGATACCTGTGGATTATTCGATGTGAGTTTTTAAGTGGAAGTGATTTTGCGTCAGACTTCTCTTTCGTTTCGTTTAAATATAATTTTAGTGTATTTTCGTTTAATACTCATTATTTTTGGTATTTTAAATATGAAAAGAAAATTTCATTTAAATATCTGGAGAAATATGGCGAATAAAAATTTCATCCCACTTTCTCTCGCGAGTCAAAGGGTTGATTAATTTCAATCCCAGAATGACCTTATCAAAATTCTTATCAATATTTTTTCTACGATAATTTCGAAATTTCCTGTAAAATTCCTCTTACTTAAACGAAGTATGACTTTTCATTTAATTTCATTACATTTTCATTTAATACTCATTATTTTCGTATCTCAAATATCAAAAGAAAATTTCGTTTAAATATCTCGAAAAATTTCACCCCTTTCTCTCCTGGGCAAAAATCTCGATTAACTCCAATCCCACACTTTCTTCATCAAAATTCTCATCAATATTCCGTCTACGATAATCTCCTAATTTTCTGTTCAGCCGATTCGAATTCACCATTCTTCCCATAATTTCCAAGTTACCGATACGCTGGAAATTCTTGCTCGATTAGATTACTGATTAGGATACAGATTCTCGTGGTTCTTCCCGGCTGAGATATTTACGTGATATTCCAGAGGGAGAAGAGAAGGGTATATCTGGACTGGGCAGGTTATCTCCAGCATCGGGGATATTTGTTTGTCCCGTCTTCCGGCGCGCGAGAATTGGCCGCCCAATCGCGTCGATGCGCCGAGCGATTTGCATTTTACGATCGTGTTCCGAAACGACCGGGGAGGTTTGTTGTTCGTTGCGTTATAGTTATGGCCGGATTAAACGAACGTCGCAGTTCCCTCGTAACGAGCGATCGCGTTTAATTCTCCGGCAAGAAATTAGCTCACTCAGGTTCCCTGTGATAAATCGTCTAATTACCCTCTGCTAGATGAACCCTTTCCCTTACGTGGAAAATTCAAAGTTACGCTTGGACAGTATTTTCTGGATCGACGTTACCTGAATTTTTTCAATTTTGTGCAGAATTTTTGGCATCCTTGAAAATCAAGAAAATTGTAAGATTTGTAAATTTATGGCTTTCCGGAAAATTTCATTCACGATCGAAAAAGTATGAATAATACTGTGAAATTGATGAATTCGTGGCAAATTTTTGGCTTTCTGGAAAATTGAACTCAAGATCGAAAAAATATGAAAAGTACAAAATTCGTAAGTTTGTGGTAAAGATTGATTTTGACTTTCTTGAAAAATTATAAAAACTGAAATTTATGAATTCATGGTAAATCTTTGGCTTTGGGAAAATTTAATCGAAGATCGAAAAAATATGAAAAGTGGGAAATTCGTAAGTTTGTGGTAAAGATTGATTTTGACTTTCTTGAAAAATTATAAAAACTGAAATTTATGAATTCATGGTAAATCTTTGGCTTTGGGAAAATTTAATCGAAGATCGAAAAAATATGAAAAGTGGGAAATTCGTAAGTTTGTGGTAAAGATTGATTTTGACTTTCTTGAAAAATTATAAAAACTGAAATTTATGAATTCATGGTAAATCTTTGGCTTTCTGGAAAGTTGAACTCAAGATCGAAAAAATGTGAGTACTATGAAATTTATGAACTCGTGACAAATTTTTGGCTTTCTGGAAAATTGAACTCAAGATCGAAAAAATGTGAGTACTATGAAATTTACGAACTCATGGCAAATCTTTGGCTTTCTGGAAAATTGAACTCAAGATCGAAAAACTGTGAAAAGTATGAAATTCGTAAGTTTGTGATAAAGATTGATTTCGACATTCTTCAAAAATGATGAAAATTCTGAATTTTTTCTTTTAGAACACCAAAGACGATAAAAATTGCAATACACAAAATCCAGCGGAAGACGAAAAATTCTCGATATTTTTCTCCTTTCTAGATCCTATATTCGTAAACGAAAGACAAACTATTTCTCGACGTGTCTGTCGATATTTTAATATTCACGAAAACGATGAATGGAAGACCGCGACATCAGTCGCGAAACTTCCACGCGGAATATAAAGGATCTAAGCGGACAGACGAGAGGCATTTCATACTTGGTAAACGTTCCGCGTCGACATTTAATATTCATGAGAGAACGAAACGCGTATAACTCGCGTAAAGCGCCCGCGAAACTTCCACACGCGTCGGCGACGTTGATCCACCATCAAAAATCGGATTGCTGATCAATATTCATCCGTCGTGCGTGAACGACAGATAGTAATACTGCTCGCGAAAATCCTCTATTCCGAACCGCAGTTTATATTTCCTATTCAACTTCATTATTCCTCCAATTACAAAGTATTCAGCTGAACAATTTTCCATCGTTTGCAACTAAAATTCTGCGGTACAAATGAGAAAAATTCTTAATTTCGTTAGGAAACTGTGAATACGATCAAATTTGCAAAATTGTCGATCTTTTGTTTGAAACACTCTAAATGACAAATTTTGTTAAATAAAAGACTTGCAATTTTAGAAATTCCATTAAATTCATGATTTTTCCAGGAAATTTGGAATTTCTCTAATTCATACCGGAGAAAAAATATGAAATTTGAAATTTCTTTAATTAAAAAATTTGCTATCTCACAAATTCCATTAAATTCACGATTTTCCCACGAAATTTGAAATTTCTCTAATTTCCTACGA